CCCCCCCCCCCTTTTTTCCCCCCCTCCCCCCCCCCCCCCCTTTTTTTCCCTTGGTCCTCTCTGTCTCCCTCTCCTTCTGTCTTTCCACTGTTGCAGAGATAGCTGCAGCTTCATCATTCGTAAGATCCAATACGCCCCGAGCCGGACCAGCGCGGGACCCAGGGCCAGCATCAAAAAGAGGTTCCTGATGTGCACCAAGGCCGTGTTCCTGGAAGCGTCTCTGGATAAGGAGGTACGTCATCCTGCCTGATGGCCCTGCAGACGCTCCTGCAGGGGACCTTGTGTTCTGACTTCCACGCAGTGCTCGGCTCTAGCAGGCTCCCAAATGCTCATTAGTGAATTGAGCGCCCCCGATGGCAATGACAGCACACTGCACACAGACTGCTTCAGGTGTTAGAGATTGAAAGACATTCAAAAAAGTCCCTTAATGGGACTGCTGGTTTACAGAAATCATTCCGGCTTCCTGTGTCTTCATAATAGCACTGAGTGCAGGTTTCCTGTGTCCAACAATACCAGGTCTACTGCCATGGTGAGCCAATCTCCATCACAGTGAAAATCAACAACAACACCGGCAAGGTAGTGAAGAAAATCAGAATAACCAGTGAGTATGAAATGGTGAAAGAACCAGGCGAAGGAGCAGAAAGATCAATGTTTCTGTCACAACATGTACCAGAATGAATGGGAATCTATTCAATAATACAACACCAGTCAAAGGTTTTTGCACATCACAGATTTTTACCACATTTACATTTATTTCATAAACTGCAGATTTTTTGTTCTTGTTAAGCATTGAAAAGTTGAATCAACAAGTATAAATGAAAATCAAATAAAACAAGTTTCCTTTATATCATGGAAAGAGAATGTAACACTGCATGTCTGACATCCTGTTGGTTGTGTGATGATGGCATAGTCAAATTCTAGACTGTCCTTTAACTTTAAACGCACTAGTTAATTGTTTCATCCCATAAAACACAGAAGTATTTAATGTCCCTTGTAGAAAGAATCCCTCAAATTTTCTCTGCCATTATTACTTGCTAGAGATGGTTACTCTGATGAATAAAAGGTATGACATTTTCTTGCTAAAAAGATACTCAGATGGTGAACATACTGTAAATTGAGTTGAGTATATTTTTAGTAAATGTTAAGTATATCTTTAGTAAATGTTAGGTGAGTAACATTTACATGTAGAAAATCTCAGTGTGTGCAAAGCTTTTCACTGGTAGTGTTTATGATTTTCTAACCTTAACTCTAAAACCTAAATCCTAAGGTGAAGCTGAGTGAGGCAGAAATAAAATAAATCTGTTTTGTGCCTTAATTTAGCGCAGGACCTGTAAGTGTGTTAATCCCGTTCATTGCTCATAAATTCGAAACATGGTGAGCATGATTATTTTTACATTTTTACCATTACAGGCAGGTCTTGACTGACGTAAGTAATCTGTTCCACAAACAAGTCAATTTTTTCAAGGCGGATTTACTTCCCCATACCATTCAGGACATCTTATACAAATGAAAAAATAACATGTAAATTTACGTAGAGGCATATGTGGCCCTTTTGCGTAAACTCTATGACTCTCAAACTTTTTTTTGCATAAGACGATTTTACGTAAGTCAAGCACAACCTGTATACTTCAAAAGCACACCATATATATTTACTCATGCGTGTGTACATGCATGTGTGTGTACATGCATGTGTGTGTTCAGCTGTGAGCATGACATGCCGCATCCTCTGTCAATACAGTTGATCAGACCACAGATGTCCTGCTGTACTCCGCAGACAAATACACCACATCGATCCTGTATGAGGAATTTGCGTAAGTGGCATCCAGATCATTCCGGAAAGCGTTATGGGGGCGGGACTTCCACTTCAAAAACCAAAAACAACACCGATCAACCACAGGGCATCCTTAAACCACAAGACATATGAGTCAGAAAGCATGTCACAGGGTGAGGAACGCCCTAGGTATGAAGGCATTCCATTAAAGGTCACATACATACAACTGACTGCCTTCCTGTCTTTTAATTGACTCCACAGTGAGGGGGGGCTGGGAGGATTTGGCCCCAAAATTATAAGTCCACCATTTCATAAGCTTGACCTGCCTACCCTGTCTGAGGGAAAATCTGGTCTGTAGATTTATCCATCAGCAGCACCCCCCCCCCAGGCCCCCTAGCTGATCCTGCGGGCCACCCACCAATTCAATTAGAATTAGTTCATTCTTAGCGGACACTAAAAAGCAAGGTTAGCAAGATTGTTGGAGCGACTGGGGGTTAAGGGCCCTGCTCAAGGGCCCAACAGTGAAATTGCTCTGCAGACTCTAAGATTTGAACCAGCAACCTGCTGACCCACAAGCCGCTCCCCACACAATTCAAAGCTGGAGCAGGGCCTGGAATTAAAATAAAATGCCATTTGTCACAGAGACCAAGTCCACGGCAACACAACTTTCGAGAAGGTTTATCAAGTAACTCCTCTTCTGGGCAACAACAAAGACAAGCTTGGCTTGGCCCTAGATGGCAAACTGAAGGACGAGGACACCGACCTGGCCTCTACCACGCTGTGAGACACTCACCTTTCATACCCTCAGATAGAACTGAACTGAATGTCAGTTAAAAAGGATTTTGTTTATTGTGTGTTCTGTTCTAACGTCACTGCATGCTCTTGGAGGGAGTGACACACGAGAATGAAATGCTCACTTTTGTGCCTCTCTGCTCCTCTCACAGCCAAACGGCCTGGCATGGATAAAGAGATCCTAGGAATCCTGGTGTCCTACAAAATCAAGACCATCCTCATGGTGTCTCGAGGTGGGTGAGTAACACATTCAGAAACACCTGAAATAACCAATGCTTACTGACAGCCTGCATCTCATGGCCTTGTCGTGATGTACAGTCTGTGGGGGTCCTTCTCTAAACACACTTTTCTGTCATCTTTATATCCACAGCCTCTTGGGAGACCTCACAGCAAGGTAAAGCATAGTGTTCATCACAAAGCACACAATGGGCAATCAGCTGTGTGAAAATCAGGACACGAGTATGTTGTTGAGCTCACATGGTATTACACTAATATGATGTCACATGACATTATAGTCACATAGTTTTGCATCCATCTAATGTTATGGTCACATGGTGTTACACTTATATTACATTATGGTTATATGGTGTTGCGCTCATATGATGTATATTGGACTGTAACACGCATGCAGTGTTACAGTCACATGGTTTTCAGTTCACCTGGTGTTACACTCGACTGGTGTTACTGTCACCTGGTGTTACACTCGACTGGTGTTACTGTCACCTGGTG